AAGGGGTGGATCATTTGACTTTTGAGGGGGTGGGGGAAAGTAGGTGATTTGCTATAGGCATAAATGTTTTTTTAACCGTTATTGTATTAGAAAGTTCTTCTTTCGCTGGACGTGTGTATGCATAAATTTTTTTCCGTTTAACATACTTTTCTCAGTTCACAAAAAAACATTTGCGGAAGTTCAGTGAACTGAGTTCACTGAACTTCCGCAAATGTTTTTTCGGCAGTGATCGAGTGGATGGATATTTTTTGGTGCAAGTATGCTTAGAGGTTATTTTTTTCAAAATCATTTACACCACCCTACCCCCTCTCTAAGAAAACCTACTCAGTTTCCAAAGAAAATTTAAGATCTAGAAAGTCAAGTAGCTGAGACGCCAGCTAGCTAGGAATGGAGCATGAAATATCTAAATATTTCCGTTCAATTCACTTCCATATATAACCAAGAGAAGAGGATCTAGGATGATATTACTGATCACGTCCCACACGTAAATAATGGGGGTCAAAGGGAACATGAAGACCCGAAATTGGAGCGAAAAGAATTCTGCAAATGAATACCATCGTCTAAATTTTTCAAAAACATCTTGGCCGATTTCTCGGTTTACGGCGTAAGTTTCTACATAAAGATAAAGACCTCCGTTTACGAAATTTGCAGCAATTTTGCCCTTTTTATCAGGGAATCAATGACGCTTGGTGGGAGTAGTGCCTTTCATTTGGTTCCGAACATGTCGATACGTGACGGGACTTTACGGTTCAGATTCACCGTATTCTGGCATTTGCTGGTCCTCTCTGGATGTGAGACTTCTGGTCTCTAGTAAGAAACACCTCGAATAAATAGAACAGAATAGCTAAAAATGTTCTGAGAGAAAAGACTAGAGAGAAAGTTCTTGCGGAAATTAAAATTCTTATCAATACTCTCAAGGCTCCAAAAATACTCTCAATAATCGGCAAATACAACAGAGGCGAATTTCCAGACTCTAATTATTTTTGTGTAATTAAGTGTCTCTCAATAGAGTTGCCAAGTTCTAAATCTGTAAAAAATTCCAAAGGTGAATTATTTTTTGGAATATCACTTGCAAAGGTGAAAGATGATGGGAACAAATTTCCTGATCCAATTAATTTAATAAGCATAAGAGTTCACAAGAGATTTGACTTTCAACGTTTTTTTTAAGGCAAAACGTTTTTGCAAAATATCGAGAAACTAAGGACCACACGAAAATTCGCGCCAAGTCAGTTCTCTTGAACTATATTGACATCAGACTAAGTTTCATTCACAGTCTTACATCAATTAAGTTTGAATCAAATAAATTTACTTGCGAATTTACTCTAGGCATTAAGAGAAGGAAGAGTCATTTGATCTTTCAATAATCCTACAATATTTAAAATAGTTTTCAAGGAAAATAAGTCAGCTGGCAATAGTAGGTGATTATATCGAGCACAGCGGGCCTTTGAAGGGCCTTAACCCCCCAGCTCTCACGCAATTTCCTGTGTCCTCAACTTGGTATTATTAATTTCTTTTCACTCTGCACATTTCTTCATAAAATTCGAACTGTGTAAAATTTAATGGCGTTCACCAACAACATTGACAGATTGATAATCAGTATTATTTACTGAACGTAGGCGTATAATCGGCTTATCCTTCACATACGTACACGCTTGGAATAATCTGGGCTTCAAGGGATTCGCAGGCATTGTGAAAAGAAAGAATCGGCGGCAAAATTTATCCTTAATACAAACTATTTAAACAAAATCAGAGCCCCAATCATGATTTATAGCCCTAATCGTCTGGGCTCCAGGATTCCCGGTGCCATGTAGCCCCTCCACAATAATATAACAATTTCTTCCACGTTTCTTGCTTCCTGGGTGTGTGTGTGTGTGTGAGTGTGTGTGTGTGTGTGTGTGTGTGTGTGNACGCTTTTGACTCTGAGGGTCTTTTACGATCATTTTTTTACAATGCACTCCTAGGAAATGTTTTAAAACTGGGTATTTTCCCGGGGGGTATTCCTAGAAAAATTGTGTGGGGGTGTGCGGTCCGCTTTCCAGAGACCCTTACCCTATTTATGACAAAAATTTGCGATTTCCCTAGGTCGTCTACGCTATTTATGACCTGCTGACCGACAAATCGATACCCTATTTATGACATGACACAGTTACCGTAAACATAATTTGTGAAAAATGTTTGTTGATGGTCTCATCGGTAATGATGAAAAAGTAGCTTCTTCTAAAAAACATACTCAGTCAAGACTAGAGTACAATAATATACCCTATTTGAGACCAAAATGTCGAGAATCGATACCCTAGTTTATGACCAAAAACGGCTGAAAAACCATACTCTTTGGGGCACACACAGCCCTTCATCGCCTTTTTATGAGTGACGCAGTTATCCATTTCGTAAACGGTCGATTCCATTTTCGCAACACTCGCGAATTTTTCTCTACTAAATTAAAGAAAAGAATATTTGTAAGTAACGAACCCGGACCATCTGTCTCCTAACATCCCTCTCATACCACTACGCTACCAGGTTGATCCGCCAAATCTCGTCAGAATTTAATTATACTGAAACGTGACTTTCTTGAATATTAGTGATAGAGTTACCCCAATCATCAAATAAAAGTTAACCGCAAGCAAACCAGTGTGAATATGAACAAATAAGCATTTGGTGAGTGCGTTTTACACCGTCAATTCTACCTTCCCCAGGCCTAAACTAAAGCAGATATGGCATCGTCCATTCTGAAAGGCTTGGTTACCAATGATGGCATCGACCGTTTACGAAACGGAAATCAGTCAGCGATGAGGACTCCTCGTGGCTCGGATAAGTTCTGGCAAGCAATTTTATTATGAACAAGGCGACGTCGGCTGCAAATGGTCTAGAAAGCGTGACCAGGGTGGCATGACCAGGGCATTTTCAGCAGGGGGAGGGGGTGGGCTGATAAGCTACCTACCTACTCTCCAGGCTACTTTAGTTTTGTGGTTCGACGGGCTTATGACCCGGAGCACGTGACGCGGACGCTATTTGGATCGTAGTGCAATCTTTCGACGTTTGTTTAGGAAGCCAGGGGGTTTGAGGTCAAGCAATGATTTGTCAAGTAATATTTTTGAGCATTTGTTCAGCTATCAACAATACGGTAAGCCTAAATAGCCCTTCTAGACAGCTCGAGCCAAGACACACATGTTTTCATTTCCAGTTGACAGTTTGCGCTTCTGAATTCTCCCGAGCAAAAGACATGAAAAAAATACTAAACCGTTTACGAAAGGCGTTTTCTGATTATCTCGGATTCGGACGCATTTTTGATTAGTACAAACGTGCAAAGATTGCGTGACCAACAAACAAACCAACGTCATGGCACGTAGTTCGACGCGCCAGCTTTGTCACTTATTATGGTAACATCTGGGGAGCAAAATTCTCCTAAACGGTAGCCACACATAATGATCCATGCTAGTTTTGATAATTTGCTAATAGATTAACTTTTATTTCCCACTGCAAATTTCGCGGTTCACTTTACTGTCTTCAAATGTTTACTCAACATTGTATTTATTCTGCAGAAATTACAATTTCATCATTCTTGTAATTCTTGTTAATTCTAATCACGAACGGTGGTCTATCACAAGCAAGCCATGACAGTACATTTTATATCATGATTTATTTTCAGAATTACTGGCGCGTGATAGAGTTTAACGCTTTTACATTATTTTGCTTTGGACAGTTCTCGAACCAAATAAAACCTAATGACAACTAGTCCTTGCACCTGTCATTCGACTACTGAAAGATCGAAAATGAAAATAATAAAATGCGCGCAGAAGTTCCGCCCTGTCTGGTGTGGCCCCAGGAGTGGCAACTGTATATCGCAAATAAATTCCACCTATTTCGAAGAAGCACGTTCTCTAATTTGTGTCTTAAGAATTAATTTTTCTGCAGGATGAAGGAAACATTTTCAAGAATACGGGTGTTAAAAGTGATAGATCATTTCCTTCACTGATTTGCAAAAAAATAAAAAAACGCTTTATGAAAGAATGCATCAAACCAAGAGCCATCAAACTCAATTGCGTGACTCTTTTATAGTAATCCGATTACGCAACTTTTAAATCCGTAAGTACGAAGATTTTTCTTGATTGTCTAATTTTAAAGACTAACCACATACAGTGTGTTTATAAAAGGGACCAAAACCTCAATAATAAGCTTCTTTCAAGCTTATAACGCAAATCTTAAACCTATCTGTCAGATCTAAAACATAAAGTACGATAAGACCGGAAGTGTAACACGCGCAGAGGACTACTCTGTTACGTGACAGGCCACGAGTTGACGCGTAAATGACGAACTTGTAAACAAAAGGTGCTAATGCCTATAGTATTATTTTAATGAATTTTACTCCTTTTTCGTCACTTAATGAAGTCAAGAGGCATGCACTGAAAACATCTAAGAGACAAAAAAAAGCAAACAAAGCAGCTCCGTGCAGAACGGATTTGTCTGGACATGTGAAATCGGCGCGCGACAATATGACACTGACTACTGACATTCAGTGAATTTTCAAGAAATCATTTGAAATCCTCGTGATGGTTAAAAACCTGATGTGGAAAAGAAAACAAAACTTACAACGATTGTCCAAAGAAGGCAGTTCTATATTATGCAAATGTTAACCACACATCACGATACATGACAAGCGCACTGAGCGAATACAAGTACAGAACTTACGCAAGTACATTTGTCAGTCGGGAGGAACCGGAAATAAATTTTATGATTTCACAACGACAGCGATTACGGGTGATTTCGGAAAAGCAAAAAGATAGTTAGGAATTTAGGCTCTAAATTACGAAAACCACCAATAACTATGACTTAAAAGAATCGGTGGAACGACGAAAGGTAAATATACAAAGATATTTTAAACAAAATCAACCTAAATCGTGACCTGAGAATCGTGACCTGACTCTAAACAGGAAACGGGGATTTCAAACCGGGAAATGTTGGCGTTGCCCCGTATTTAAGCCGGCGCTGAAAGTTATTTAGTAAAATTGTCTTGAGAAAGACCGACCAAAGCAATAAACAGTTACGACATTTTTCTGCATGCCAGAGAGGTTCTAAAGCTAATGGAGCAAACATACTTCATTATGGAAAACTCGTCGATTGTCAGCCCATCTTGGCAGGTACGTTTATTGCCTTTAGCCACGATTTTGTTTATAATAAGCGTTAAAAGTCTGGGAGCTTTAATAGCAAGTTATAGATTTATAGTTTCTGTAATCACAAACTAATTGCAGGTGAAAATTTCATGACGAGTTAGTAATCAACGTTGGTCAAAAGTTGTTTGCAAAAGCTGGCGTGCCTAGCTGAACTGAAGGTGGCCTGAGATAGCGAATTTTTCAATTTTCGTGGTGGGGGGGGGGGGTATTCTGAAAATACGAACATTGAATAAGAGAGCTTTCCGTCATTGACTTCTTTGTGCGACAAAAATGTCTTAATGAATAATAAAAAAAGATTTTTCCTAGTATAGTTACAAAGAACGCGGCAAGTTCTAAATGCAGGGTCCTCCCCTCAGTACTAGTCTTGATGATAGGGTTACTTGTTACGACGGAAAGAACAAAATACATTCGAGAACCGAAAGCAGAGCGTTCCGTGACAATCATGCGTTAATGACACGCCCCAATGCACGAGTTCATAATACAGTGTTTATAATGATCTGCATTATAATCTCGTGACAAGGGCAGGAAAAGCTTGTTGAGGGAAAGACGTATTAAGAAGTTCAAGGATTGGCAAGCAAACTGGTTATATTTTTCACAGTAACAGCTGAACAAGGTTTGTAACGACAAATTTAGTTCAAGGGTGAGCTTGACTACAGTATTTTCTCAGATGCGTACTTTTGAGGGGCCAAAATGTATGTTGCTGCCTGATTGCGTAATTCTCGTCAGCTGCGAGCTGAATGGGAGGGCAAAGGATGTGTTAACTATAAAACTATTTTGCTGATGTTATAGTTAGATAAGTGCCCTTCAACCAACAGTTAAAGCTACCTATTCTTAATTGCAGGTAAAAAAATCAGTTTAACAGCACGTCGTTTGAGATCCGGCGATCTAGGCAGATATTTGCTCATATTTTGATTGCCAAAAATTCCTTTGTTTAAACTAGTTCAATTTAGGCTAAAGGCAAATGCCGCAGAGGTGCTAATATTCAGAGATAAACATGCATTGCACAATCAAGCGTTATGAAGCGAAGCGTGACTTGGGTACCTCCCTTAGGGGTCCAATCAATTTTATTATAATCTCCTTGTATTTCGAGCCACCTTTTGGTAATTTACTCGAGAGAATTGTGCTCTCGATCAGCAGATCTTGCTCAGACGATCACTTTTTTCTAATCCCGTGACTAGCTTATTTGAATTTGTTATAAAGATGTTAAGAGAAGTTGGAGATCAATCACAGCGGCCTAGTGAAGTGCACATCATGCAACACAGGAGGGGTGGGTGGGGCGTTCTTTTAAATACCACGGAGACATCGACATTTCTATGTTTTGAATTATTACTTCAACCACAATGCTTTCATATCAAAAATCAAACGGAAATCTTTAAAAGTAATTCACAAAAGTGTGAGATCAAGGCCTTTTTACCATTCATTAAAATAATGAATCTGAAAGTGCCGAATTTCCTGTTCGTCAGTTGTGGCAACAAAATTGGGCAGCCTTGGGCAGAGAAGTCAGAGAAGCTAAAGCTAAATCAAATAACATTGCACCTTCCGCCGCAATGATTCATTTGCGTCACTGTGGATGAAAATTATAACCACAGCATAAACATAGATGCGGGGAGTGAAAAAGTTCTGTAGAAACGGTGTTGTTGAAACCCTTAGCGCAATATCAACCGTGGAGATGAAAAAGTAAATTAACAGTCATTTTACATTTGTAAATTAGTAAATAATTTGAGGTTTGATCGAGTGTCAGCTTGACATGTAATGAGCTCAGCTGCTGGATCAATCCGGGGGTGAAGAATAACCTTGACACGACTTCCGGCCTGTTCTAGAAATCGAAAGCAGGACTGTTTTTCCATTCACCAGCTGACACATATTTTGTTACCAATATCGATCGGTCGAATCAAAATTGTTTTTGTCCGACTAACAAAGGGCATCTGTCAGTCTATTCAAGAAAAAAAAAAAAAAAAAAAACTTAATGGACTTAATTTTTATAAAATAGAGTATAAAATTAGTTATCGATAGCCTTGTCACGTTTTCGTGATATTTTTTAATACTTTGTCATAGTTCTGGAAAGAACAATAGTTTAATCATTAAAAAACGCAGATGAAGAACTATCCTTATAAATATTTGTCCTAATTTCGCTCCGGAATTAATATGATTACGCGATAGGCAAGTACCTAGCTGGCCTTTGAGGAAGTCGATAAGGAATTTTATAGCTGTGATATGAGTAATATGTTGTTTCCGTTTAGTAAAGGCTGTTGCTTGAACTAGCGAACTTTTTCGTGCGAAGAAATTGCAGCATATACGCTTTATAGTAGTAGACAAATGTCCACCGATATTTTAAACATTGTACACCATTTAAGGAATTGCCGCTCAGTTTTAATTACTTTCTTTTGCTCGTAAAACAGCTACAACCTCTGTGGAATTCAAAACATGGGGTAAAACTGACACTTATAAACAGGATTTGGTCATTCCGAAAGAGCCCATGAAGAATTTCGACACACCCAAACTTTGGACTTCTCGCGCGATCGATCACATCGCGTGAGCGTCGCTAACTTATCATAACACGATCATATCTTGGTTATTATATGCCCTATAAGACTATGATGACAAAAATGATGATAAAGGTCATGTCTTCTGCGTTACAAGCATATCTTACTTATCTCAAACTGCGTTCTTGCTAAACTACGCAGCATTATATAATGTTTTATGTTCTGTTTTGTAACTAAGGAAAAAACACTTTTTTGGGTCGATGACGAAATTGTTCTTTTTTTATGCTCTGCGCGTCCCACGTCCTGCGACTAATGCTGAGTGCGTAATACAAGATGGCGGCGCGGTGATATGACGTCACTAGCGATGACGACACAAAAGATCGGGCAATATCAATTGTGTGGAGATGAATTCAGCTGTTGTTCTCAGCGGTGGTTACCGTAAATAGTTACTCAAGGGTGTAATGCAAACATTATTTTACGTTTTCGACTTCAACGGACATTTCAGTCAGTCGCAGTCTGTGGTCAACAAGGGTTGAGCTTTGAGAAAGAAGTTTGCTAACTTGACACGCAAAGAGGCGAAGAACTCCAAGAAAGATTCGACAGAGGTGAACATTGCCTTCCGTGTACCTTTAGTTCGAAATCTTTTTCGACGGTTTGAGTTGTAGATTATGCGGGATCGAAAAACAAGCATTAGCGCAATCGAGCTTATGAACGGAGAGCATGTGCGCGGTACTGCATCGAGCCCATTCGAGAACAATTGACCAACCTTCTATTCAATGTTGATGATTTCATTTTTGATTTGAAATTTATCATACTGATCGACTTTTTCGTTGCTTTCCTCAGATGCCTGAATACACTCGAGAGAGCTGTGCACCCTTGGGGAAAGAATTTTTTGACTCAATGGACCGTGTTGACGAAGGAGCATTGGCAAGACTCATAGTTGAAATGCAGTTGAACACGTTACAAGATTTGCCGGACCTTCGCACGCTTTTCTTCAGAAGAAAGCAACAGCAGAAGAACTACGTTGCGTCGCAGTACGGGAGGATACAAGCTTACCGCATTCAACAGCAATATTCGTCCCCTGTTCATGGATCGAAACCATGGCCCATGCATGCTTGACATGTCACGATCGTCGTTAGAAGTCTCGTGAATACCACAAAATGACCTCCGCATATTTGGTCGCGGACGAAACGCTTGTAAATAGAAAGAAGAATATTTATATTGAAAAATATAAGGCAACTGGACGACAGCAGGACTGTTCAGCTCTAACTGCCGAGACTTTATTCTGTATTGGAAGCAGGATATTTTTTTCCAAGCCAAAAACAGTGAAATGAGACACTGAGTTCTGTGACCAGTTTTGAAAATAAATTTTTCAAATCTCTAAAATAATATTCACAGACAAAACCACAGAAGGGACAATAGTGACTCTGTTTGCAATATTCAAATATCGCTTAGATTAAAACACAACGAATTATAGATATCTGTGGAAGCTTGTGTTTTTCTTCTGCAATGAAAAGCGGGCAAGAGTTGTCGCAATGTAAATACAGTACAGAAAAAAAATCACTTAATTTAAAGACAGTATTTTTTATAGCCTTGAAATAAGACGATATGAAGAAGAGAATACGCTTGAAAAAATTTATTTCACTTGGTTAGCGTGTGCGTGACAAAGAGAAAAAACTATTTACAGATGTAAATTTGCGTAAGTACGTCTTGTAACAGTCGAATTAGAATAATAAAAAAAGAGAGATTTGCATAAAACTGAACTCGATGCAGCTGCCATCTATTGTAACGCTAACACTGTAAGAAGAACGTGAAAGATCTCATGACAAGGCGCTTGTAATCGTCGTTCAATTATTTGGACCATCTTTTAAAGCTGAATTTTCAGGCAGAGGAAAAGAAAAGGTCAAAAAGAAGCGAACACTTAGATCAATGACCAGTTTACGTGCAAAGTTTCACCTTATTATGTACCCCCAGCACGATCACTGAGAACTGATTTTTCATGAAAGTGATTTTCGATTGTGCTATGAAATCTTTATCTGGCAGGTATTTAGTCAGTTTTCGCGCTCACTTAGGGCCAAAAATTCTTGTTCTGGAGGAAAAACTTCAGTGAAACTTGCGAATAGTTTTTTCAACGCCGCATGTGAGGGGCACAAAAGAATAAACGACACATTCTAATGATACTCAAGAACACAACAATAGACATTTAAAAAAAAGTCATTTGTGACGCTTCATCGCACAGCACATTGTCTGCAGAGTCGGAAATATTGAACTTTGATAACGCCTTCCGTTTCAAAGTACGCCGAGATATTGTGGCTAATGGGGTGGCTATCAAAATCAAACTCACGCATATTTTCGTGTTTGGTTTCCTCTTTAAATCTCCTTGCCAGGGATCATTGTTTCTCGAAAAGACAATTACTGTTCTAAGAAGTTGGCAGGCTTCCGTTCTTTTCATGCTAGTCTTAACAGCCTAACTTCTGGCCGTGATTTATGAAAAGAACTTATGACAACAATACACTATATCAGAAAAGTGCGCTCTACACAGGAGGTCAAGAAACACTTGTGCAGCTACTCAAAATGCACTTTTAAAACCTTGCAACAATTTAGCATTTGAATAATTAAAGCATTAACTGGTTGCACATTTAGTCGGACATTCACAGCCTTAGTTGAATCGATAATCTGGCGTAGGGGCTGTGTACCGGACAACGATCGTGGACACTTGTGATGAGGCGATGTGCCATGTAGCCTGACAGTATAGGTACAGGTCAGTTTGAGGTTTTCGGCCGGGGGCGACTCGCCTATCTATAATCGATAATCTGTAAAATTGAGGTCACAAAACTGACGAAACAACATGGTACAAATAGCCAGTGTGCGTCATGAAGATCAGTTTTATTGATGTTCTTTCGCACTATTTCCGCTGAACCCAAAACAAGGTTATTTTTTGAGACAAAAAAATGCCGCGCCCTGCGTAGCGTGCGTCCGTGGTTTTCAATTCAGTAGTTTTCCCTCTCCCCACATTCTTGCGCACACGCACAGGAGAGCATTATTGGAAGCCGATTTTCATGTATAATGCGTTTTTAAGAGCCTATTTATTGTTATTACTTATTATTATCATTTTATTATTATTATTATAATAAGTTTTATGACCTTACTATCATTACTATTATTATTCACTATTACTATAGAAATTGTTCAGTTCATGATGGGTATTTCTACAATTCTACCACAAGGGCAGGGTCCAAATCATGAACCTAGGGACTAAAGTTCTGTCCAAGTTGGAACTTATTATTGTTATTATAATTATTATAATTATTATAATTATCATCATCATCATCAACATCATCATTGTCGTCGTCGTCGTCGTCGTCGTCATCATCATCATCACCATCTGTGGCTTCTGTCTTGTGTATACCTCACGGCTGGTGGAATCTGCACTCTAAGTACAAAACTATTACCAATGTAGGACAAGCTTCTTCCGCCTTGACAAAACCGTGGTCGAAACAGCTCTCCACGGTTGCAGTTCTTAGCTTTCAGGTTTGGACTCTATCATGTCGTTGCACCGTTAAGCTTTCCACGTAGTAATCAGCCTTGCTTCATTGTTATGTTTCTATTTTTGGCTGATCAGATCTTTAATTTACAGATCCTACGTATCCCAGCAGCATTTTCGTTTACGGTCCCTTGCATCATTTTTATGAATGTTTGGAAGTTTCATCTTCGGCAACAATCGTATGGATACGATCTGCACCAACCCTACCCGACCGGTGGATCCGAGGTAGACCTCGCAATATTATTTCCGTGGTAATCGGCATAGCTCAAAAGTAGATGTGTTTTTGGCTGACTGGTTTTGAGGCCATATTTACTGACAATGTACTTCTTTTATTAACTAAGAGCAATGTTTTGCCGCGACTAGGAAACCATCATCTGTTTACTGTTTGCATTGTAACCGGGACTTGTTTTTGGCTTCTGGATTCAGTCTGGTATTATTTTAACGACGTTTTGATTGTTTTCGTTTTATTTTTCAGCTACTAGTTTGAAGGTTACGTTGCAAGGAAGGGAGTTAAATCTGAACTGCAGAGAGATTTCCTCTCTCTGTATCCTTGCTCTCTCCGTTCTTTTTCTGAACAAGCAAAGAATCAACTCAATGATAGAGATCGAAGCCGCGGAAATAAAAAAACAAAACAGTCGACAAAACTGTTTTTGTATCTTTTCCAAGAGATAGCGAGAATCGAAACTGCGAATACTTTTAATGCTCTTGTTTTTTGGAAATAAACTCCATTAAACGCCTGGTCTCCAAGGTACATTTGTAAATAAGACCCTCAATCAAGGAATATATTTTAATTCCATCTAAGTTTAAGATGTTTTAGGCGTAATATTTAGATATTTAACTCTCAAAGATAATGAATAAATACTCTGATAAACTCCGGGCTCGAATAAACTGCGAAAGTCAAAAATAAACGCCGGATCCACGACACCAGGTTTGAAATAAATACCAGGGGCGTTTAATCGAGAAAACACGGTATAACCTTATTTTGCTGATATCAGCTGATATTTATGGCGCGCTAAATTAGGGTATATTTTTATATTGGCACCTCCCACTTTCCTGATGTCATGTCCTTTTTATATTCCTAATTTTATGCATTTACGCACTTTCCTGTCTTGTATTTATTCTGTATGGCTTAAGAAGTACCCTCCACTTTATTCATCCTTATCATGATGAACAAAATATTTTAAGATAGGATCTATTTGTTTTGACGCAGGTTGGCCGTAATAAATAGACTGCTCTCGAGAACAACAACAAGCAAATATGCCGAGTATCGTACAAAATTTTGCCCAAGAACGACTCGATGTTTAATTTTATACGTCTACGATATTTTCACTTTTTGGTTTCTCTCTTTATGAATTCACTTGCTAGTTTCAGCTCTTGTTTGGGCGTGTAAGGCAAATATTCGAACAAAACAAGTAAGAATAATTAAGTAGAAACAGACCGAAGGTTTAATAATCTTTTAGCGGCACGTGCGCGATACCCGAGTTTTGTAACATGACTTCAAAACGGCTTAGCAGACTTGACATCACAGAAAATTACTGGCACGTGCAGTAGGCCTAACGCTCACTTTAACAGAGAGCTTCAGTCACGTGGTCCGTGTTTTCTCTGACCTCTGAAACACGTCGAAGTTTTGATTGTCGTAAGAGTTGGACGAGGACAAGTCATCAGGTCTAATGCCACAACAAAATATACGATGCTAGATTAGAGTTTAGCCTTAAGCGACCAACAAATGATAAGTTACACGACAAGCTATCGAGCGAAGTAAATGTTTGAAAATACACACCGTGGAAAACAAATAAAATTCCAGCTACTCTTAACTCGACCGCCCCCTTAAAGTGCTGTCCGAGCAATATCAAACGTTTGAAGTGGATCAAAGTGGCTCTAAAATAGATTGCTTTGTTTTCGTGATTATTACCACAACATGCGTGGGAAAGATTTTTGTTGGTAATAGCGCTGTTGATCTCCCGTCAACAAAACAACCACCACACTTGTCAACCGCCATTCTGTTGCCAGCTTTGACAACGATGATGGGGGTAATTGTGGTTTATGTCGGCTTACTTTTCGGGCCGTTGGAGGAAGTATATTTAAATATAACATGGCGATAAGTTAAGCTGCCGCTTAATGAATCAAACAGATGATTGCGTTTGTGTAATTTCGTGAGTCGATCTTGACCCTGGGGTGGGGGCGTGCGTTCGCTTCCAAGATCAGACCGATGTTAAAGGCATTGTGAAGACGAAGGGCTTTTTGTTGATGGTCTTATCGATGATGAAAGAGGGCAAAAACCATACCCTATTTGAGACCCAAATGACCAAAATCGATATCCTGATTATAACCAAAAAGGCTAAAACCCATACTCTTTGGGCCCGCACATACCTATATAGCCCATATAAGGGAGTACCTCCCCGCCCCACCCCAGGACCCGGAAATCTTGGCACACTTGGCACAAGAAAACAATTTTTTTACTACCTCTAATCACTCATGATCGCTGCCGGTAAATACTTCGGCCACTTCAGGTATTGTACCGGTTTATGAGGGGTTGCAAACGAACAAAACATATTTTTGGAGGGAAACCAGGAGAGGCAAAGGATTTGCAAGGTTCCAGAAGAAAATATTGTAATAGCTCTTGCAATCGGAAGAAGTTATATACGAATCCTTTGGTTTACGCTTCAGTCGAAACTCTTTTACCGTGGATAAAATCGGGCTTGAAATTTGTTAATCGTCGGCTTTGGAACAAACAGAAGGAAGAACAAAAGAAGAACGATCAACATTTGGTTTTTTTAATAGTCAGTATAACCAGTGTTGGCCAATAAATATCTACAATATAAAATCTTAATGTAATTTGAAGCCATGACAAACACTTACATTTCAGTGTCTTAACAAAACTGACTACCTTTGACTTGCATAAACTAATTTTCTTTTTACATACCACGATCAATATGATTGAGATGAATGACATGTGCTATAGTAAACACACAAGGCTGACTTGAATAATTCAGACCATTCTCGTCCCCAGAGCCCACGATCCTTCAGGCCTGCGGCAGGGATCGAGAGCTCTGGCCGGACGCCGATTTTCTGAGCATGCGCAGAGTATTCGTTTTGTATTCTCAGCCAATCAGATTTGCCAGATTTGACGGGAAGTCCGTGAATCGCGGACTTCCGGTGTTGGACCAGCCCAGAGCTCTCGATCCCTGCCGCGGGCCAGAAGGATCATGAGCTCCGGGGACGAGAATGAATTCAGACATACTGTGCCTTACTTTTGACATGCGCACTGACGGTGATATAACTGGTTTTGCCAAACGACTCTGGCTCCCGTCCACACTGCGCCGGAGAAATTTGAAAAGGCAGCTTTATTTGGCTTAGGCCTGCCCGTCCACGCTAATCCGTCACGAAAACAGAGCTTTTCGAAAACTCTCTTTAAACAGGAGGAATTTGCGTTTTAGTGTGGACGGCAAACATTTTGAAAACGGAGCTTTTCGAAAACGACGACGTCACAATAATCAAGTGATTTCACTGCCCGAGTTTTCCTCAGCCACAAATGCAAATGACTAGTGATTGTTGCATTTTCAAATGTGGACGGAAAACATTTGATGCGTTTTCAGAGTGAAAACGCCGTTTTCAAATTTCTCCGTCGTAGTGTGGACAGGGCCTCTATATTGCGTAAAGTGAGTTTCTATAATTTAAACAAAAGAACCGCCACAGAGCAAAATGGATCGATAACTCTTCTTTGCGGTAACATCCCAAATGAATTGTTCATTATTTTAAAGTTCTAATCGTACGCCTTTCGTGAGCTTAATCTGGAAGATAAAAAATACTTCGAGGAAATACAAATGTCCGCCATTTTTTTTTAATGTTGTATTTTCCCCGACAGTTTGGACACACAAGAAACTTTCGTTTTTGTGTGAAAGCTCGAAACTATAACAAATTTCGATTAGTTTAGCCCATATTTCTCTCCACCATTCTCTTCACAGCTCGCCCGCGCTTCTTGAATTATTTACAATACAACATTAACAGAGGCTAATCAATTTCAACACGGTAATCGGTTTATTTACTGTAAGCCTCTGTATCCACTTATGCAACCAACAAACAACCACGTTACACAGTGAAACACGGCAGTCTAAAAATCGAAAATTCAAATGCTTTGTTCCAGTGGTCTTATGCTTAAATTTTTTCTCTCTCACTCTAAAATATCATTGGTTATTATAAATTGAGTGCCAGTCCTGAGAGCTGGAGATTTCAGACTATGGCCATTAAAATGCACCAGTAAATTGAAACTAGAAGAAACAAAAAGGCAATTCACGAGGGCTGTTTGGGAACAAACCGGGCACTTAAGGCCAAGAATGGAGAATGGGCCCGATATAGAGTTTCAGACCAAATGTGAAGCTTGCAGGTAAATACGGAATTTATGGCCCGCATCAGCAGGCCAATACTTTAAATAAATCTTCACTCGTCTGCCAAAACCTTCTATGAGACACCATCTATCTCAGCACTTGCTTTCAAGGTATAAATAAGTTGCCGTATGTCAGTTCGCTTTTGTGTGATCGATGAAAACCAGTTGGGTTTCCTTATGGGCAGTGTGAAGTCTGTGATTGGATCCTGCAAAGACAATCACAATAAAATGCTGTTAGTGGCAGCAATGGTTCCTTTAAGGTTTAACAACAAGAACAAAATCATACTTTATTTCTCACAAATTACAATTATTGGAAAAATTACAACTTTTTCATGATTACAACTGATATGCCTTGTCACTTTATAAATATTAAAGTTACTGTTACAGAGTATGGGGGTCAAGTAAACCATTTGTTTTTCTAGTTAGCCCCCAATAAATAAATTTACAACGATTTTAATATTTCAAAATACAGAGCCCTTTGGTTGTGTTGTACGAATTAGAATTTACCTCAAAGAAGCTCTCCATGTACTGTAACACGTACACGCCACAGTCGCAAAAGTTGTCCTGCTGAGGAACCTGAGAATGGGATGGAAACAAAACCCTGACACTGAGATTGTTGACCATTTACGCGGTGAAACCGGTTCGTCAACGTTTTTTTTTTTGCAAATGGTGAGTAAAAATCCCCGATGGCAAGTTCCGTCCGGATTGGCCATTTAATACCATTTACTCAACAATCCCCAATTTAATGAAGAAGACTAGGATGAGTTCGACCTGATCATAATTCCAAGATGGCGGCTGGAACTGGTGAAGAATTGCAAATGGTAAACACATTTTCCATTCGGATATTTCGGTTGGAAATTTTGGACTAACTTTCAAGACGTTCCGTTCAATTCGGAAATTTTCCGGTCGGTCGAAGCAAAATTGTCTTAAGTACCATTTACATTCAGACCGAAATCTCCAGAACTTTTGGGTAAATGGTTAAAATTCCAAGTCTCATAAAAATTAGGATTTATTTAACACTATCAACTAAGATTAACTAACTCTGCAGACTTTATAGTCAAGACTCGCGCAAATTTTTGAATGAAAGAATATCTTCACGTACTCTTTCCCAAATGTATATTTTCTTCGTTTTCCTTATCTAATAATTATTTAAGCTTGGACAAATTTCCAGAAATTTTAGAGTTCAGACTTTTCCAGATTTCCAAACTATACGATCATGAATATGACCAGCAAATGGAAAAACAAACCTTGGGATGGTTGCCTTTGATTGTGTCCTTGTCAAAGATTCTCGAGGCAGGTTCTTTCTTTCGTTCTCTCCATTCGCACTTGAGGTAGCTAACGAAACACGAAAATTGTAAACTAAGAGCAGTGTCGTCAAAAGTTTACGTAGCGAGCGAAAATGTCCTCTAAACAGCTGATTCACACGATGATATGCAGTGTCTTAAAGTTGTTGGATTTAGCCAATCAGAAGGCTGGTGACGTGCTAACTCACATGACGTATGCAGGCAATGACGTTTTCCCGCCATGTGCCGCGTCCACATCTGTTTCCCGCCAAAAACTTTGCACGGTAATTGAAGGGATCAACAGCCACGGGGCTTACCAAATCATCAGATTTTGTTTCTGTAATACGTTTTTGAGTTAAGACCTTTCTCTAAACTGTGACACCTTGAATACAGTCCCCCAGAAAACAGCATTTGTCCCATACCTTACAACAGAAGAAAACTGAGAAAGGACAGCTTGACACTAAATGCTGTCCTTGTCTGCCGGTCGAAATCATGATAAGGAGAACTTGATGAACTTACTTTCTTAGATTGAGCATACACCTTGTTCTCGAACCTCCCAGAGAGTCAAACACTAAAATGCACGGTCTGCAAAAGAGAACGTTATTTCATTACGCCAATGACTGAGATCTTCCTTGCCACTATATAATCAACATTACAATAAATAACAATGCAACTTACAAACTCAATCACCTAAACTCTTTTGACGGTTAATGACTTTGTTTCACTGAACCGATAGCTTTTCAATCTGACCACGTGAAGGGTTAGACAGAAGCCCGCAGCCAAGGGAGGTCGGTCATGATATGATATCTAAGTCATTTTTTGACGTACACAATTGTAATTGCCTTCAGATTGTAAAGAAACCTTACAAAAATAGTTTTCGAATCAGCAAACTTGGAAATATGGGCCAACTACTTCAAGACGAGCAGAATTTCCATAATACTCCTTACTGAGATTTGATGATTTGTTTGGACAAGCTTTTCTTGGATTGACGTTTAACTGGTTTCTTTCGCAATGCTGCCAGCGGAGAGAAATCAAAATCCTCTTCATCGTCATCGTAATCACCACGTTCAAGTTCTTCCTCGGTTCCAGTCTCCGTATCTGTGGCTTCACCCTGTTGTTGAGGTTTTTATAGAAAATAACTAACAATTAGGTTATGAACTCGAGATATCTATGAGGTGTTAGTTGATGAGGCCGAAGGCCGAATCAACTATCACCTCATAGAAATCGAAAGCGAATAATCTAATTATTTTAGTAGAATTCTAACTCTGAGTAAATTTACTTCAAATAACAGTTTCCCATTATTTCTCGACGTATCACTAACCGTCGTGTCTCAGAATTACATCGCTAGGATTGAATTATCATTTGCAGTTGTGTGTGCGCGTATCCTTTTTCTCAATAATTTCAAGATTATTGACGACAAGCCAAGCGTAAATGTCCTTCGTTTAGTCTTCATATTAATTTATTTATCCAATTGCATCAAAATGTTCCTCCAAAACTTTGGAAAAACGAAAATAAGAACGTCGCCATTTCCATAGACGACCTCCAGCTACTGCACACTAATTAACAATTAGATTATGAGCTCGAGATTTCTATCGCATGATAGTCACCAACGGGCCACCAAAAATCTGGCCGTATTAACGTATTGAGAAAATGACTGACTGAGCTTTTGTTCGGGCCAGAATAAATATATCTTATTAGATGTTTTGGTGTGTAGTATCGCTATATATAGCTGGTTTTCACATGACGTCACCAAAATTCGAACTACAAAACTATTGATCTTCCTGAGATTTTACTTAAATGATGTGTAAGAGCAGCTGAAA